AGGATACCAGCCCCAGTGAGACCCAAGCCATCACAACCCTTAGGGCAGAAGGGACAGGGAGGGAATTTGTTACCCATCTCCAGGGACAGGCAGAGTTCCCAGAGGAGCTGTGGTTCAGAGGAGGGGGCCACAGCCACTGTGGGACTAAGGGAAGCAGTAAGGGGCCCAGGAAGTGAATGTACCCTGACCTCTCTCCACCGACCCCGTGGATGGAGTTTGCACTAGCCTTATCCTATCACCCTTAGGTCTAGAAGACAGTTTTCTGCTGCTCTTGGGTCAAAGCCTCTTCTCCTCCTCCCCTCACTCCCTACCTTTCATCCCTTCACTACCTACCTTTCATTGCCCAGGTTCTGGGAAAGTGGCCCAGCACTGCGAAAGCGGCCCTTTCATTGGGAATCAGGGTGCTCTTTCGACCCCTGGTGGCCAGACTCGGACCTACATGGAAAAATGCACCAAGAAAGTTCTGCTGGAAAAGTGCTGGTGATTCTCCACGTGACCCTCCTCCACCCCAGGGTCACTCTCAGCCTTCCTTCCCTAGCTCGGGGCCCTGGGAGACTGCCGTGTGCAAACTCTATCCGCAGGGTCGGCGGAGAGAGGTCAGGATATTTGCTTCCTGGGCCCCTCCCTGCATCCTGCACTCACAGTGGCTGTGGTTCCCCTCCTCTGAGCCGCAGCTCCTCTGGGAACTCGAGCAGTCCCTGGAGACGGTAATAGACTCCCTCCCTGTCCCTTCTGCCCTAGGCTGGCGATGGCTTCGTGCCCACTTCGGCTGGTCCCCTGGTGCCGCCCCATCCTTTGTGGCTTTCTCCACTCTGCCCATCCCTCCATAAACTGCCCATAAACGCTCCCAGTTAAACTCGGGACTGGCCACTTGCTTCCCTCCAGGACACTGATCAAGTCTCAGCATAAATTTAGGGTAAGCCAGAGAGAGAAGGGGACCCTAAGCCCACCAATGAGCATTCAGAATTTATCTTTTTATTATTATTATTTTTTGAGTCATTCTCACTCTGTTGCCCAGGCTGAAGTGCAATGGCACGATCTTGGCTCACTGCAACCTCCACCTCCCAGGTTCAAGTGATTCTCCTGTCTCAGCCTGCCGAGTAGCTGGGATTACGGGCATGTGCCACCATGCTGGGCTAATTTTGTATTTTTAGTAGAGATGGGGTTTCTTCATGTTGGTCAGACTAGTCTCGAACTCCTGACCTCAGGTGATCCACCTGCCTTGGCCTCCCAAAGTGTTGGGATTACAGGCATGATCCACTGCACCCAGACTATTTATTTGTTTATTGAGACGGAGTCTTGCTCTGTCGCTCAGGCTAGAGTGCAATGGCACGATCTCGGCTCACTGCAACCTCCACCTCCTGGGTTCAAGCAATTCTCCTGCCTCAGCCTCCCAAGTACCTGGGATTACCGGCATCCGCCACCACACCCAACTAATTTTTGTATTTCTACTAGAGATGGGGTTTTGCCATGTTGGCCAGTCTGGTTTGAACTCCTCAACTCAAGTGATCTGCCCACCTCAGCCTCCCAAAGTGCTGGGATTACAGATGTGAGCCACCGCACCTGGCCAATATCCTGAGTCTTGATTTGGGTGTTTAATTACATGGTATATTCAATTTTCAGGATTCCTTATACTGTTCCCTTAAGATCTGAACATTTTAATTAAATTTTTTGAGACTAATTGTTAATTAAATGTAATTTTTAATTACATTTATTTTTTAATCACGGTTAATTTTTAATTTTTTTTTTTTGTAGAGATGGGGGTCTCACTTTGTTGTCCAGGCTGGTCTCAAACTCCTGGGATCAAGTGATCCTCCCACCTTGCCTCCCAAAGTGCTGGGATTACAAGCATGAGCCACAGAGCTTGACTGCCCCTTTTTCCCTCTCTGTTTCCCAGGCTGTAGTGCAGTGGTATGATCTTGGCTTACTGCAATCTCTGCCTCCTGGGCTCAGGTGATCCTCCCACCTTGGCCTTCGCAGTAGCTGGGACCACAGGCACGCACCACCACCCAGCTGGCTAGTTAAAATAAATTTTTTTTCTGTAGAGACAGAGTCTTGCTATGTTGCCCAGGTTGATCTCAAACTCCTGGCTTCAAATGATCCCCCTGCCTTGGCCTCCTAAAGTGATGGGATTACAGGCATGAACCACCATACCTGGCCTACATTTTAATTTTAATTTAAAAATAAACAAAAAAGAGCCAGGCACGATGGCTCACGCCTGTAATCCCAGCACTTTGGGAGGCCAAGGC